TCATTACAGAACACGACGGTGATCCTAATTCATGTAATAAGCTAAAGTGAGCTAACAAAATAGAACAAAAAGAGGTCCTATAATATTCAGATACGCATTTCTCGTCGTTTAATTACGTTTGACGGAGGAATTCCGGCAAACAAAAACACAAACATTTAAGAAAATCAAACCCAAAATTAGCATATTTGAGGTCAGAACAAGAGCTTACCACACGTTACGGTAACGAAGAAAAAATCGATTCGGTGGAATGAAATCGGCAAATTGAAGAGAGTGGAGCGGCGAGCTAAAAAGCAGCGAGGTTGAGTTCAGTGAAAGTTACCGGAACCTTAATAGGAAAAAAACAAAGAGGGAAGATTAATTATTGGTTAGAGTATTGTCGTTAATCGGAAAATTGAAGAAGGTGAAGAGTGTGAAAGAGAGACAACCGGAAGGAAGGTAGTAGAGTTGCAGAAGAAAGTATTACTTCTTTACTGGGAAGAGAGAGATGGGAGGAGATTCATGAATCTGAAGGTGGGCCCTTGATTACATTCCGGCGGGCTAAGGACTGCTTAACCCAATGGGGGACCAAAGCCCAGAAAATTGAAATTCGAAAATTTTTATTTTTTTAATGGATAAATAAACTGATTTGTTTGTTTTACACTGCAAACAGTCAGGTTTTTGGGAATTCTCTTAATATTTATTTTTTTATTTATAAAATTAATTTAAATTTGATATTTTATTTAAAAAAATTAAATTATTTTTAGTCGTTATTTGTAATAAATAAGTGTATAAAATAAGTATTGTTAGATAAGAAAATGATAAAGAAATAAATTTTTATTGTGTAATTTGATACTATTTAAATTATATAATTTTTTTATTTTTAATAAATAATTATACAATCTAAATTATATAATAATGATTATTAGAAAAAAAAACTCTTGATATCCAATTATTTCAGATTATAAAGCAAGAATTATATTATATTTTATTAATAATATTATTATTTTAGATTACATATTATTAAAAAAATTAAGATTCTACCATTAAAAACATTAAGATATCTAATTATAATAGTTAATCATGTGTTAAATTTATCACATAATTATTTTTAAACATTAATTTTTTGTTTATGTTGGTTGTACAACATGAAACAATTTTCTCTTATTCTTTACTTCACGCCACTGACATATCATGCAATTCAAATTTAAAATTTCTTACTTCCAGTAAAAGAATTTTATCACTAAATTACTTATGTCATGGTATTTTTAAACATTAATATCTTAATTTTTCCTTTTTCTTACTATAAAATAACTACATCATTACTTT